ACACAAAAATCTTTTTTAAAAAAAGGAGGGGGGGGGGGGGGGGGGGGGGGGGCTCAAACAATGTCTTAATCTTAAAAATAACTCACAGATGATGATTATATTGATTCAAAGGGATTAACAAGTGTTAAAACTGAAAGAATTCAAATGCATTTGTTCATTATCTAAAAATGCCAGATATATACACACACACACACACATGCATATATACATATATAGATGCATGTATATATCCATATATACAGATATACATATATGTATGTATATATGTATGTGTACATATACATACATACATACATATATACATACATATATGTATATCTGTATATATGGATATATACATGCATCTATATATGTATATATGCATGTGTGTGTGTGTGTGTGTATGTATATATACATATATATAAAATGTGCCAGCTAGATTCACATGCGATGGCTTGTCTCGTTAGCTCTTCATTCTTGTTTAAGTTCAAAAGTTGAATTCCTTGGTATTTACTGAAACCCATTTTGGCTTAACCACATTTCTCTCGTCCAGTGTCCAAAGATCAAAACAAGCCTATATTTACCTTTGGTCGTGGCAAAGTGGTAGGTCTCATTTCTCCAAACAAATTCAATTTACTGATTCAATAATTAAAAAAACTTTGGGTGTCCTCAACCTTTGGTCGTGGCAAAGTGGTAGGTCTCATTTAAAGTTAATTAAATTCCATTTCTTGCTGGCATAAGAAAATGTACAGCATGCTTATTCAGAACCATCCAGCGGCAGTGATTGATAGAACGAACTAAACATCATAAAAAAGAGATACTAGTGTCATGCTATCCAAAATGAAAGAGCATAACTGGACATGCCCATAAATAGTGAAGTGCAATGACACCAAAATGGATTGCTTGAAACAGAATAATAAAACAAACCTGCCAGAAGATGAAGTTAGTTTTGATGGTTTGTTCAACAGCTTCATTTGCCCATGTGTCTCGGTTTAGCTTCAAAACAGAGAGAGGATGTAGACTAAAATGAGAATAAGTATCGAATGATATGACAGAGACAAGAATTAAAACACTACCATGTGAGAGCTGAATTCCGTGGTGGACTGTATGTTAACCACGAGCCATTTGTTCTGCATTCTTGCAACATCTTTTGCCTACACAAAAAATTCGTTATTAACAGAAAGAACACAGGAGCTAAATAGTTTTTTTAGGAATTTTTAGCCAGGAGAGATCAGCAATGACTGTAGGAGATAAGTTCCCAGAAAATAAACTAACGTGTTGATGACTACCAGCAGAATATCAACAATCAAAAAATAAAATAAAATAAAATATTGAATCGACCTAAAAGAACCCAAAAAATATAATAAAACAATAGAATATGAAGCAATAAATGCTATTGTGTTAAAAAAACAGAAGGGAAAGAGATATGCTTCACCTAACCAGAACAGCAGTGATTTCCTTTTTCAGTAAGAGAAGGATTCAATAGCAGAAGTAAAAGATTACAATAGTGAAGAACTAAGAAGCACCGACACGGATACGAGTGTCCAACACGACGTCGACACGCGATTTTTTGAAAAAGTTCCGACGCGATACATTACCAACACGTTGATTAAAATATTATTTTTAACTTATTTTAATTTAACAGTCTAAAGTAATAATTTTTTATACTTATTACATTATATATATATATATATACACACACACACACACTATAGATTTGATTTTTTTTGTATGTTTGATTTTTAATGAAGGGCAAAATGGTAAAAATAATAATTCATTGCATTTTTAAACAATAAAGCTGGAAAAAAAGTTAATATATGCTAAAAGAAATTTATATTGTTGTTATTGGGCCCAACAAAAGCAATTGATTTACATCATTGACTTTTCAATTCCTGCCTGGCTGCCTCACGTCTCTTCGTGTCTTCTCCTTCAGTGCTTGTCTTCTTCTTCACCGTCTTCTCTGCATTTCTTCTTCTTTCTTCTTCCTCAGTTTTCTTCTTCAGTCACCGGTCACCTCCTTTTGTATAAAATCTGCATTTTTTCTTCTCCGACACGTTGCAAGTAACTCGGACACATGTCGCCCACGTGTCGGTGTCCGATATGTGTCGGACACCGACAAGTCGTTGTCGGCAGCGTGCCCGTGGTTCCCAGGTGAAGAACAGAGTACGTCAAGTACATCAAAGCAGAATAACAATTACAATTTACAACATCTTCCTCCAACTGCACTCTAAACCTAACTAGGGATTTATTGTAGAATTGCCAAATTGTAATTAGGATAAGTTGTATAATTGCCATATGTAATTAGCCTGGTTTTCTTTTTCTGATTTTTTCCTTGGATCCATTGTTATTTAGTTTAATACTGTATACATTGTTACTAACTAGAACCTGAAAGAGCCAGCTTACAGAAAAAGAAATAGATTTCCCAAAAATAAGAAACCTGCTTACCTTTTCAAAGGGCCCATTGATAATTAAAGCAAATGGTTGACGATATAAGGAAGCAAGATTATCTCGAACTCTACTTATCACAGAGGAAGAACCTTGGTCCCCTTCCCACACTCCAGGGCGCCTCATTTCCTCCTCAAAATTGCGGAATGGATCTATTGGGTGACGCTGAGCTTCACGTGGCAAACCTCCCATTCTTGGCGAGCTAGTGAGACAAAACAAAAAATCACCACCTCGAAATATTAATTAAGTGCATCAAAAAATCACAATAAAGAAGGTAGCAGTAAAATTTCTCCGCTCAGTAACTTAACATCCAGACTTCATCAGGCAAGTGTTCATTAAAAGTGTAAGAAGACAGAAGCATGACATATAATAGACAGACAGAAAATCTATGAGAAGATTAGATAATAAAAGCAAGAACATCTAGGAATACTTGTAAATCAGTACATGAGCTTTTACAAGACTCGTGTTGAGTCGTCTTTATCTTTTGGGGTCACTTAAAAAAAAATCCAAATTTTGAAAAATACTCTCTGGTTTCAAGAATTAAATACATAAATTTGATATGAAGCTTGTAGAATTTTTTCTCACATCGTTATGACCTTTTAACAAAAATGTTCAAAAATTAAAAATCTCCCAAATTTTATTTTCAAAGATTTATAAAATGGGGATTTCCATGTCCTTGATGTGTTGAGGATATGTTCCTATTGTATTTGAACTATAAAGAATATCATGGTGTGCCAGACATGTGCCCGAGGCATGTCTTGGACGTGTTCGTCAAGTGTTGAAAAGTTAAAAGAATATTTAAAGAATGCTCCACATGGCGTCGGACACATATCCTAAAGTACCCAAGAACTGTTGTGTCCGACACATATAATCAAACACACCCCGCTCATTAGGAGTGTCAATGAATCATGGTCTCCAATAATCCATAAAGGTGGACAAGCATCATGTTTCTCAATGAGAGAGAGAGAGAGATAATATACCTATGAGGCATTGAATTATCATAGAGAACGTCCCTTTTCACAGGTAGAGGTGGTCGTACATCATCTCCGTCAACTTGTCTCACATTTTGATCTCCAATATCCTCTTTTGGTCCTCTGCATTAAATAACAAAAGACAAGTAAATAAGATACAGAGATTAAAAAAATGAACAGGACTACCTACTTAGGTTGTGTTCACACGACATGCCTTACAATCGAATCATGCAATGGCACATCATTTTCAACCTCTGAGGGATTGAAAGATGGCACGGCAGTCCCACCATCATTTCCTAAATAAAAAAGCTGAATAGCATCCTCAAGTTTCCAGCTTGTGGCCTGCACCACATGAACTCCAACATCAAGAATAGAAAAGATAACTTTTAAGAAGTTAGGTGCACAAAATTACAAGACAGATAAGTCTACATAATCCGGCAAGGAACCGGGCAAGAAAAGTAAATGTCAAATGCAATATAAAATTATGGAAGTATCTAAAGACCCTTCCAAACATATTGTAGTTTGAGATATGTGTTGGCATGCTCCCCATTGCATAAAAAGATTTACAGTGGAAAAGAGTACAAAGAAGATTCATTCATCAATAAATGAATCCTACTCCTCACTCCAAAAATAAACATCAGATTCTCTTTGTACAGCTTTTTCGAATCACAAGCAATAATTTTTCTATTGGTTTCATTCTATTTTCATTTTTAACCTCTGATGTCATAATTATTTCCTCATTTGCTCTCATTTCAATTTAAGGAATCATTGTTCTCAATCTTTTCACAGATCCATAATAAATAAGGAAATATTAAATTCTCCTTATAGAGCTTTTATCTAATCATGTGGAATAATTCTACTTACTGGTTTCTCTACCTTTTCTCTTTCTGTCTCTAATATCATAATTATTTTCTTTTCAACACCCTTTTCAAATTAAATCTTCATTCTCATGTTTTTCACAGTTATAAGTTAAATCTCACTCAACAGATCTTCTCAGCCGCACCAACTTATAGAACTTGATATGCAAAAGCCAAACCCAAAGATTCTATTTTTTTTTCTTTTTTAAAAGAACTATAAATGAGACGATCCAATAGGTCATACCAAAAGCCAAATTTAATGCACCACAGTAATTTGTCCAAAAACTTAAATTCGCGTTATTGAAAATCTATTAGCATTTGGTTTTAACACAAGAAATTGCATATAAACGCGTCTAGAGATAAAGGGGTGAACCTGAAGGAACTGACGGGCAGTATCGGCTGTTTGACCGACTGCGATTTCAAGAAACGAAGAGACCATACTTTGCTGGTCTGTCGTAGACAAATCACCCTCCATCGATGTTTCCTTTTTCCTCAAAAATTGGTCGCAAAAACCTGAAATAGCAGGATTTTAATAAACGGATAAATTTCATTAAACATGTGAGGGAGCTTCCTCTTGCTTCGGCTTATATATAAGCTGCTTGTGGGTTGTTTGGGGGTTTGGGGGTAGTGGATGTCACCTGACCCTCGTTTGCACGCACCTCGCCGCCGCCCAATTAAATTAAATTTAATTTTTCCCCCTCTACTATTTTCAATTACATAATTTTTCATAAAATAATATTACACATAAATCAAAAAATTTTATTCTTTTTCAATCACTCATTATTCAAAAAAATATTATTCCATCCATTTTAATTTGAAAAAATAGGGGTCGATTGGGGGCGTAATTTGGTAAACGGATTAGATAAACATATCTTGAATCGCCTTTATATTGTGTAGACAACGAAGGATTTTTTGGGATTTTTGTTCTCGACTTTGATCTTTTTTAAATTTTACACGAACAAGTTCTTTCGTGTATAATTTTTTATAAAAACTCAGAAATTTTAAAAAATCAACTAATTTAAACTTACAAATTTTGATGAACTCGGATCTTCAAGATCTTCAACTGTTTTTATTGAATAAGAAACTTTGCATCTTCTCAATCCTTTAAATACATTAAACTCTCCAAATTCTAGTACGTCTTCTCCAGTACTAGAAGTAGACTCCAATACTATAGCAGATATCGAAGGATTAGTAAATCACGTGCTATAATGAAAACGCCTAGATATTGATGCTCCTTCGTTATCCAAAACTTAAGTCTGTTTAAAGTTCTTGCTTCTTCTGAATCTAACATGCTATGCACGTTGTGAGCAAAATACCTAATTAATGCTAACAGTATTTTACTTGTACCTATTTCGTCATTTCTTGGGCAAGGGAAGAAAAATAAAATGTATTGACATATTGATTAACTTCTTTACAAAAATTAACGTAGTTTAATAAAATTAAATCATTATCTTCAACTTCTATATGACAACAACACATTCGTGCGGTCCTTAGGAGATACATCACACATAAACTTCACTATATACCACCATATGTAATTGGAGATTCAAAATTCAATGTATTTGAAATTTGGTTTATAGTAAATTTTATACCCTCTATATTAAATCTATGATCCGTTATATAGGCTAACAAGACGATATAGGCAAGTCATTCCAATATTTTTTAAACTTAAGTTCCATCCCTACTACAATATCAAAAAGGAATTTTGCTATTTGTACTCGGGCGTTGATACGCCCGATTACACGCCTCTCACAAAGAAGGGGAGTCTGCGCCGAATAAAAAAATGCGCGGCCTCCCTACTATGAGGGGCGTGTAATCGGGCATGTCAATTCCCGAGTACATATAGTACGACCCTCAAAAAGATGGGTAATATTTTATGCGTTGTAAATTTTTAGCAATATGACTTAAGTGAGGAAGAACGAATGGATTAATGGGATACTAGAAGCTCGAACATGCATTTGTAACTTTAAAAAAAACTTTCAAAATTTTTTATCATATAAAATGAAATTTCTCGATCATCTTCTTGTAAATCAACTCTGATGTCGAGTGTCATAATAAGTAGTAATAGTATTACCGTAGCCTTCAAAATAAAAAAGTAGCATAAGAAATAGTGTACCACCAGAATCGGGGTTTAGGTTTTGTGCTAATTTATCAACCACTACTTTATTGCCAGTTGCATTGTCAAATGAAAAATTACAAAATTTACTCTGGCAATTAAATTCTTTAACTATTTATTAAAGTATTAAGAACACTTGAAGCATTATGAGGATGCTTAATTACTTTAAAAATAAAGGTTGATGTTTATGTAGGTAATGTGCAGTAACAACTATGCGAGTTTTATGATTATTATTGGATCCCACGTCGGAGGTAAATGATAAAACACCATTATATTTACTTTTATCGCTCATTATTCAAGTTTTTTTTTTTTTCATTGTATAAAGCATAACATCTGAACGAAAAAACTTCTAAAATAAAATTCGTATATGGGTTGGAGATATTTCTTTATAAACTTGTTCCATCTTCTTGGAAGACAAGGCACATACTGGAAGGTAGGATTTATCCTGAAAGGCAGGAGTGTCTTGGAAGGTAAGGCACAACATGAGTTGGCTCACTAGGCACTTTGACAGTTCAGTTGGAGAGGTGCTCTGACCATGGTCAGTTAGAGACACATCCCGTTGTTTAACTGATCTGTGTGAAGAGGGGTCGGATCACAGACCCAAGGAATAATCGCCGAAAGCGGACACCTTGATAAAAAAAAAATAAAAATTCAACACTAGCTATGAACTTTATGATACTTCAGCACGTTGCCTCTTTTGTATAGACCCAACTAATAAAACTAGAACTAGAACTTGCGCCACCAGGAAAACCAAACTGGAGTTGAGATTGATAAGAGTTCAAAGCCTCATGTTTAACTATGCATTTTTTGCAGTACTTATTAAGATGGGTCGTGTCGATACCTTTTTGTCGAGCTAACCTTTTTTTGCAATATTTGCATAATTTTCTGGCATTCACTCTTATTGAACCTGTGACCATTAGTTTGAAGGATTCTCAACACTTAGCGATTTTTTCTTTGTTCGTGTTTACTACTTGACGTCATTGTCTCTGTTCCATCTTCTTCAATGTTGTCGAATCAATTTGATCTGTGCTCAAATGCCCATGGTCGTCGCTCAAATCATGAAAAATTGAAATGTGATGAAGACCACTAAAATCGTGATCTAATGATGGAGTTAGAGCACTTTTTGGTTTGTTGAAGGCACCAAAAATTTCGTCGAAGTCATTAGTGTTCAACAATCGACTGTAATCCATTTGAAAATGGAATTATATATGGAGTAAACTAGAAAATGGTAGGAATAGAATAATAGTATTGATATTAGGTTAAGAAGAAAATGAGAAATAGTGAAATTAAAGATTGTACAATAAAAGAACTAATTGCTAATTTGAAGATTGGAAGAATTGTGTTTTATAGAGAGAAATATATTGTGAAAAAATGAAGTAGGGAGGGAATATTTATAGGAATAAAAAACCTTTCAAAATTTTAGGAAAAAGGGTCTAAAATATGATAATTGGCCAATGGTCACAGCCCATGACCCGTGCAAGTTCGTGGACACTGCTCGTTGCTTGGCCCACAAGCCTTTATATGAGCCGACTTGTAGGTGTGAACCACGAGCCTTCATATTAGTCGGCTCGTGGGCTTGCCTGTGCTTAGTTCGTCAATTTTTTTCTTGATTGGCTCGATCCTTGTTCGTCCCCATTACGAGTTCGAGCGACTCATGGGTCGAGTCCAAATAAGCCAAGGCGATGAGTTGCTCGATGCATTTGTCATCTCTAAATAAAAAATATCATCAATATATGATCTCAATCAATTATAATAAATTTTCACTCTTTCAATTTTAAAACAAGACAAAATTGCTTATGCTTGAAATTCCCCTCTACCCGTATGGTCATTCCACTAGGGGTGTCAAATGGACCGAATCAAGTCACTTGACTCACTTATCGTCAGGATCTGATTGGCCCACTAATCGAGTTGATTTGTAGTCACCTATACGCTGAATTGAGCCGAGCATGAGCTGACTCACTTAAACTTAGAACAAATAGTATTATTTTTATTTAATTGTGTGCTACTATCTTTAAACTTCTTGTTATTATATATTGTATAGTCTAGCTCTTAGAAACATTCAATCTCACTCCATACTCAAGTAAATTTATGTAATTTAAATTCATTGATATTTTGATCATAAATATATATATATATATATA